AATTTTGCAGGAATGGAATGCATTTTTAGATGCGCTGGCCATTTGTTTTGTGTCCTGACTTAATTAACGCTGACTTACTCATGTTGCCAGGACTCGTACCGCACCTCCTCCCTCAGCCCCTTTTAACCCCCTATAGAGGTCCTGTGTAAGCCGCTTGCCGCTTGGCATTGTTGCTGTCTTTTGTTGATAATTACTTTTGATAACTTGGCTCTCTCACTTAGTGAGTCTGTCTCTTGTTGTCCTCTTTTCCCATTCCCGTTTTCCCTCATGAGTTTTCCTAGCATTTTCCCCCATTTCACGCGGTTTTTTCGGTTTTTATTTTATTGTTTTTTTTTTCTCGTTGCATATGGCGCCATTACAGAGCTTATCAACAAGCTTTCCCATAAGCTTTAGTTTTTAGTTGTTCCGAAACGAAATGCCCCGCTCTTCGCGCCTCTTTGACCAACAAACGACTGACTGGGCTAAGTGCTCCATAAGCCTTGAGGTAGGTCAAGTAAAAAATTTCAACCAGGCTCGAAAAGGGCAGCAGCAGCATCAGCAGCAGTTACAAAAACAACAACACCAACCACTGTGAATAATGCAATTATCATGGAGTTAAGCTGCGATGCAAGACCATGAAATATTAACAACGAGATGAACGGAGGGTTAAAGCTGCTAGTGATATGGTGTTTAAAGTTGTAGGTATTGTAGTTAGTTACTAGGCTAAGGTGTTTTTTTTTAGGGCAAAGTAAGTAAGAAATGAAATTTATAGATCTGATTTATATAAGATTCAAAATTCAAGATTTAAAATGAAATAGAAATAATTCTTAATTAACTTAATACTAACAACTTAAAGTCCCATAATAACAGCAATTCAATTGCCTTTTTATAAAAAGGAAACCTTCGGCTTGTTAAGTAAACAGCGAAAAATGTCTTTCCCATTTTCTGCATATTTTGTGGGCTTAGAAAGTGTTTGGGCCAATAATATTTGCCACTCTATTTACATATGCCAAGGCACCCAATGTTCTCCCCTATCTAACTATGTCCCCCCTTTTCTTCCCTTTTTCTAGCACACCCACACTCGCAACTATTTGGAATGCAAATGTGTGTGTCTGTGCATAATGTGTGTGCGTTGTTGTTGTTGTTTTTGTATTGTTTCTGGATGTTTCTGTTTCGCACATTTGGCTTTATTGCATTCCTTTTTTCGCACGCACGAGGCCTCAAGTTTTTAGCTCGTACTCCTCTTCTAAATGTCAGCTGTCAAATATATATGCCCCGAACATATCTTATATACTTGTATATATATATATTTATATATGCATGTATATAAATAATGCACTAAGAAAAACTGGAGAATAGAAAGCTAAAATGTAAAATAACACTATAATAGAAGTTTTAGGATTTATTAACCAAGGCTTACAGTGAGAAAAAATCTATAAATAAATCGAAAGATTTGAAATTTGAAAAGTATATCTTGAGCTCGAAACGTTCTTCATTATTTCCTAATAAAAAATTATATTTTTAAAATTCAAATTAAAAATAAACAGTAAGGAAAATTTGGGGACTTTGACTAAATTTCATGAAAATTAAATTATCTTTCTGTGAAATTTTCCATACATAATAAGATGAGCTAATATTTACTATTTAAGCTTGTATTAAAAGATATAAAAACAAATAAAAAGCTTTTATAAACCAATAGTTTCTAAATATATTTAATTACCTAGTGAAATTTCGAAACCAATTTTATAATCAAAACATAATCATTACCAAATTTCTCTCAGTGCATTCATGCACACATTTACTATGCATATTTTGATACGTAAGTTGGTTACTTTTGCCTCAGTGTCCTTGAAACAAGTGTATATGTGGGTGTGTTTTGTCTGTTGCCAAGTGTCTGTCTCCGTGTGTGTGTGTTTCTGTTTGTGTGCGTGGACAGCTGTTAAAGTGACAACATCGCGTTGAAAATTTATGCGATTGCTTATAAATCGGATTTATTTTGATATGCAGGCCAGTGATTCATTGATGATACCGGCAAGTTTCCAGAAGCGTGTTTAGAGCAATCGCATAATCAAAATTAACGGTGTGCTGAATTTTATAAGCCAGTTTAACAGACTCAATCTCGACGGAATTAGCCCATAAAAAGTCATTTAATTCAATAAACTTTTGTATTTTAAGAGACTTGAAGGAGGTATATCTAATTTGTATTTTGAGCAGACCATAGAGAATTTTCTAGCAAGTTCTTCTAGCAATATTCGGTATTTAAAAGTATAAATTTCTTTAAAGTTCATAAAATGAATAATTAAACATTTTTAAAAACTAGTTTAAAAACGAAAATAACTAATATTTACAATAAAAACCTAAAAACCCCACTTAGCCCAATTTCCCACACGAACCACTTAATCACAATCGCAACAAGTTGATGGATATCAGACCAATTATTCAAATCATTAACATAATTCCGCTTATAATTTCTATGAATGACCAAAAATAAAAAAACGCAAATCAAAAGGTCATTGAATCGCCCACAAAAGCGTACAGAAAACCGAAACTAAAGTCGCCCCGAAAGACATCATTTGTATGGCCTGCTCATAATCACAAATAAATAATTAACAAATTTTGATTGAAAATGTCAAATTGCCATAGCCCTGAGCTAAATCCGTGGCGCTGAAGACCCACAAAAAAAGCATACATATATATATATATATATATAATACGAAGTTAATTTGCATAAAAGCGGCGATAAAGGAGAGCGCCAAAACAATTTGTCAATGTAACGCCCAAGAGACTGCTCCTCCCTTTCTCTTTTGGACCACTCTTCGCTGGCAAAGGAGAGGGGGGCAGAGACTTGAAGTGTGTTGAGAAAGGGAGTGGGTGAAGAGGGTGGTGATAGCGTGCTAATTTGCGAAGGCAAAGTCAAAATAGAGCCATAAATATGGCAAATGTTTGAAGTTGTTTCCGTTTTCTTCCTGAACCACCACTCTCTTTCTCTGTATCTATCTCTTACTCTAACCCAATACCGCTCTCTTTCTTCTGTCCATAAACGTATCATTGAGAGTCTTTCTTTCTTTCATTGGGCATCATTAAGCCTATAATGTATAATTATACATTTATCGGTAAAACTAGCAAACCTGATGACTGGAAGCGGTCTCTCACCTTGAGCCTTTTACATTGATTTCAATTCCAAGCCAAAAAAAAAACGAGTTCAAAAACTCGTCTACCATCTCGATACCATCAAATTCGAAATTCGTGCAGTAACAATAATACAGTATAAATAATAACAAAAAAAAAAAAAAGTAGTTTACTAAACTGTTATTACATCTGCGATTCATAGAAAGACCATGGTGAAAGGTGGTCGGGGGGGAAGGCGAATTGAAAGTGGAACGAACGGAAGTATAGCAAATAAAGCATACGCACTGTGGGCCACACAAAACAAAACTTTGGACCTGCCCAAAAAAGTAATCAGAACTCAAGGCTACGTGAGTGAAATTCTTAAAAAAAAAAACAGCAAAGAATTCACTTTTTTTGAATTTCTACTTTACGTAGATAGAGGCACTGGAGTGCATCAACCTCGTTGTGCATTTTTAATTTGCCTTCAAGTGCAGCTTAAATTTGCCTTAAAATATGGTTACCTTAATTAGGTGCAATTTAAGCTACTCAACTTTTTACAAGGCTACTTAAAAAACAATTGCTTAAAGATGATGATTTTATATCAGCTTCATAAATTTTTGGTTTCTGAACAAGTTAAGTTCCAGCAAATTTAAGTTACTTAAAGGAAGAGCGTTTTAAAAATGTCTATTAATTAATATATTTTAAGATTTATATAATAAATACTATAACAATAAATTATACTCTCTTTCTACATGTTCATCTAACCCATCTTGTCTTTATTTTTTGTTTTAATAACCATGACTATATTTGCTTCTTAAACTTTGATTAAGTAATTACAAGGCTTTATACGGAAATTATTAAAAATGTTATGACAATTAAAATAAATTTTGTGGTCAAAACAATGCTTAAAACTAAAAATAAGGAAGCCAGAAGAACTGAAAAAAAACATACAAACGCCGTAATTATGATTATTAATTCAAAACTACCTGCCACTTGATTCCCACATTTATTAACCCATTTAATTTTGAGTTTACACACTTCCATGTTTCTCAAGAGCCAAGTTTCTCCCATGTACCATACCAACTCCACCCAATTTTGACCAAAACCAATAAAATGGTAATTCAATTAAACCATATCTAAATCAAACACGTAGCTTGCTCAATTTTTCCACTGTAGATCCCCAGATACATACATGGGTGAGCCCCGAAAATTGCACTTCGATTCGGAATCCTCCAGCTGTTATGCCGCTGCCAAATCAAAAAAAAACAAAAACAAATATATAAAAAATCGAAAAGGGTGCCCCAGACATACAACGTAATGCTCCACTTACTTCCTCGAATATACATACACACGAAAGGTGCTTTCAATTTGCACAAAACTCCACATAAATTACATAAGTTGACCATAAAACCTGAAGAAACAGAGCATTTGGCAGGAGAAGAAGCGGCAGAATGGGTGAGGTACACTCATATAAGTGCACCATTTTGGAGCAGCTTTTTTTGTGGAAACTGGTTGACCAACTGACCTTGAAGCACTTTGGAGATGGGGATGCTTACGCAATGCACTATATACATATATATATATATATATATACGATTCCAGTTCGATCTTCTTCTCTACACGAAAGTCAACAAATTGCAGCTTCGCCCAGCAACGATTGCAAAATTACATTTGAAGTTTTTGGTTGATGTTGATGTTGAGTTTTTCCCCCAACAACAACAGCAGCAGCAACACCGCCGCATGGCAGATCTTTGGCTTGTCAAAAATGTAAACACAAAAGTCTCTCGGGAGGGAAAAAAATAAAAAAAAAAAAAGATGTATAAAAAAAGCAAAGCGACGGCGACGCTGCTGCCGACGCTGCTGCTGCTTTTGGCCAGGTCTCAAGTGCGATATAAAAGCCCGGCCACAAGCCGCTCAACGATCCACAGTCCAAAGTCGCTTGCAGCGAAAGACATCCAGTGCAGAGAGTTTAACCACCCCAGAAAATATGTTCAAATTCGTGTTGATCGCCAGCTTGCTGGTCGCCCTCGCTCTTGCAGCCCCTCCCGTGAGTGTTAAAAAATATTAAAAAAAAAATATAACATATTAAAACAAAATATATAAAACAAGACATTGATATGACCAAAGAATGTATTCCATTTAGTGACAAAGAAAATTAATTTATAACGCGAAAACTGTTCCTGTGTCTGTTAATGTTGCTGTTGGGTTTTTCACGATCGCACGCACTTGGGTCTCTTGGTGCTGCGGTCCATTTCACACTTCTCGAAGCTGCCACACTTGACATTGCCGCAATAGCTGCCAGTGGCTCCAGCTAAAAAGAGAAATTAATAACGTCATTAAAACTGAATGGTTTTTTTTTCTTTTTTGGATATCAAAAAATTTGGTTTATATATCCTTTTTAGTGTTTTCTTTAAGTAAATGCTTTATAAAATCTCCTTTAAAAATTTTGAATATTTAACGAGAAAATTTAAAGTTCTATTTAATTATTATGTTCTTTAGTTTGTTGTAATACAAATTACAAATAAAATTTTTAACTTTGTATCACATTTTAACCAATATGTAAATATTTTGTTGAAAAATTTGCCTAATTGGCTATAAGCTTCCTAAGGTCAAGACCGCCATAAAATTAACATTAAAAAAATATATGTATTACTATGAGAAAACTTACAGTTCTTGCTGCCAAAGGGCGATTTATCAGCTCCGGAATTTCCTAGCAAATTTGGTTGCACGCAGCTACGTCCGTTGCACAAATTCGGACAGCATTTACCTCCAATGGCACTGCATTCGCTGTCATGCAGGCATTTTGGAGTACAGTTCTGAACCTTTGTGGATGAAGGACAATCTGCCGAAAGAGGGAGACCATAAGGAAAAGCTCTGATAGAGTTGAAAAGTTTGCAAACTTACCACCCGCAGCAAAGGCAGCAACCACACAGGCAGCAATTATTAGCAAAAGAAAGCCCAGCTTAACTGAAATTATATAAAAATGTGTAAAACCGAATTCTTAGTGGTTCCGCATTTCGTGCGAATATTTATAGCTATATATATTTTTATATATAGATATTTGGACCTACCCATGATGATAGTTGAACGTCCGCTTTGTTACTATAGTCAACATCGACTGCCGTTCATCGGGCTTTATATGCCCCGATCGGTGGTTTCGAGTCGAACAAGTTTTCAGCTTATTTGCCTTTGTATTTTTTTAATTTTTACTTTATTTTTTCTGTATTTTACCTCCCCAACTTGCCTTGACGTGAGGTACTAAAACAAAGGCAAAAAAAAAACAACACCAAATCACTTATCATTTTGACTTTGAATTTACATACAAACAGGATCGGAATAAGCGATACTTGAAGACGCTACCTTACCATAACTAGAAGTAGATATGCATTTTTTTTATAAAAACTTTCAATATTGTAAATATTTTATAATACTCTAAATACTGCTTCATGATCTTATCACCAAGAAAAAACTTTCGGATTATTACCATATCCCTAAAGCGTATAGAACAACCGTAAGATATCAACCTAAAAAAAAAGTATCTACTAAGCTACATTGACACATTTCAATTACTATTTCCGTTCATGCACTTGTACACAAGACAGGGGAAAATGTGTCAAAACGTCGTAATGAATTTATCATTTCTTCTTCTTTATTGATGGTTGAGTCATTCCCGCACAGTCTATGTTTATACGAAGCTCAGAAATCAAGATTTTACAAATTGAAAAGATGTTATGATTGTCAAGCTCCTTAGTTGAGATCTTGTTAAAATTCTGGAGTTGATATTTGGTTTCTTTTTAGTTATTTTTCTTGAGAATACAAAACTGGTATAAACGTAGAAATCGTTAAAGTTATGTAACCATTCTGAGAAACGGGGGAGAGAAATTTGAATAGATGTACAGTTCAATGGTCATTAAAGTGTGAACTAGAAACTTGTGATCTTATTATTGATCATTGGAAAAAAGGGAATCCCCAAGCCGAGTTGACTGAACCAAAATATTTAGATATTCAGCTTAGAAACTGATGTAGATATTTGTATATAAATATTTAAGTTATACATGAATAATTTAACAGAAAAGGGGGCGTATCTGCTAAATTGACCGAAAGGCTATAGCCTCTTGATACGCATTACTCAACTTATTTTATATTTATTTTTTTTAATAACTCTGTTTTGTTTTGATAATCTTTAATAATTATTTTTGTCAATACTAATTATACTCCTTGTACTTTTCAGCGGGATGAAACCGAACAGGAAAGATTAGATAGGGAGGCATTGGAACAGTATCAGAATGAAAATGCCCAATACAACTTCGATTCCAAAGTGATCGATAATATCAACGATGGACAAATAACCAGGAAAGAGCAGCGCGAAGGAGGCACCGTCCGCGGCTCATACAGCTATGTTGATGGATATGTGGAACGCCATGTCGAATACATCGCCGATAAGGATGGCTACAGGATAATCAAGGACGAAATGAAGGATATTGGAGATGGCCCACAATTCGATCCCGAAGGCCAAGCCGACGTTGAGGGTTCGATGATCGGCAAATACTCCATTAAGTTGGATAAGACCGACGAGGAGAAACATTACAAGGATGCCCGTGCCTAGAAGAGAATTAGTTGGATGATTTCTAACATTTAGAAATGGACTGAATACTTCGTAGAGTCTTAAAGTAGAGTAAACACCATCTGAACAAAATTTGAATTTTTCTCCCAAATAAAATATTGACCAAACTAAAATATTAAAAGGAATTCCATCTACTTTTTTATAGTTCCACGGTTACTTTCTTATTTTCAAAATTTATTTGTAATAATGTTTATTTATTGGTTAATTTTGCGGTGAGTGCATCTAGGAGCAAAATGTTGTTCTTCGTTTAGGTTTTGAATTTGGTTTTATCTCGCCAGTGCTTCTTGCTGATGTTGCTGTTGATTTACTGGCTATAATTCGTATTGTTTCCTCATACTCTTTTCATTTTTCCGTTAATAGCTTGTTTTCACTTTTTTCATAATTTTCATTGTATTTTTTTTTTTGTTTGTTTTATATTTATCAACAGGTTTAGCTTAACTTATAGGGTCTTGTTTTTGAAATCAATTACGTGTTGTTTTACATTTATGTTTATGAGCTATATGCTAAAGAAATGTGGGCGTGGAGAGTCTTAGATCGCTTGGGTGAGTGTCTATATGTGGATGTTGTTGGGTGGATAATACTAAACTTAGAAAATTACGAATTAAAGCCTAAGCCCTGGGGCCCAAGCGTTTTCAAAATACATTATGAATATTTCATAAATTACACAGTAAATTAAAGTATACTTAATTAACAATAAGTATATTGATCAAGTTCGTATATTCAAAATCGAACCAACCAAATCACGCACATACAGCGAATAAATTATAAAAATATAGTCATCAGACGTAAGTGAATCCATATGCTAACCTATTCTTGTATGTACTTTATATGGTTTCATATAAATTACATTTAAAACATAAATATTTACATTAGAATTAGTTTCTTTAGTTGTTTTTTATGCTTTACTTATGTATGCCCCTTATCATCAACTTCGTTCATATTTGCTTTGCCGTTATTTAAATTATAGTTTTCATATCGAATTCTATTGTTTGTTTTTGTTTTTAGAGTGCTTGTGATATCCTTAAACAATCACAAAAAACAACGAGTATCTTAAGGGATATGCAACAAGCACAAAATACACAACACTAGCTTGCATTTTAGGCTTAACTCCATCTCTTCCCTACTCTTTATACAAAAAGTGTTACGAATTGCCAGTTTGCTTAGTTTACATGAATTGCAAATGAATTATAATATACATTTATGTATGGTCTGCGTCTGTGCGTAAGCCTCTGCACTTGCGTTGTTTTGTTTTCTTATGTTTCTGTTTCTGTTTGTTGTACACTTGGTTTTCGCCTTTGCTCTTCAATTGCTATATACTTCACAACAATTCAAACATTCGGGGATTCTCTCTACTGGGATCGTCTAAAGATAGGGGTATCTAAGTAACTATAATACGTTATCCATCTCATCTAATCACACAGGCGACGCACAGCTTGGCCGCACCGATGCAATCGTCGTGGCAGAAAGCTCCGCACTGCTGGCAGATAACCATTGCATTTAGTGAGCAGGCGCAATTATTTGATGTTGCTGTTGTCTCGATGCCTGGCGGTGTGTTCTCCCCGCTCTGATGCAATTGCAACAGTGGATGCTGATGTTGTGTTGCAGATTGTTGTGATTGTTGCTGCTGGTTGATAGGTGAAGGTGCTGCAGATGGTGTTGAATTGGTCGTTACTATGTAGTTATTGCCAGCCTCCATGAGAGCGACCGCCGATGAGTTGGTATTACCGCCGTCAATATAGCCGATATTTGAACCTATTTAGAAAGGATTTTGTTATTTTAATTTAAAGAATATAAGAAACTAAGCAGTAATAAACTCTATGGTTAATACTTACTAATAAAATAACTAATCTATAAAATATTAACATATTTATTAATAAAATTCTTAGCAGGGACCGTTTTTGGTAAACAGAATGTTTGATAAACGTCTTGAAGTTCTACAAACATTTATAAATATTAGAAAATATATTAAACAATGAAATTATAAAGACAAATGTTGAGTCATATAAGAGAAATTAAAACAATTGAAATTGAATAAAATAATATATGTTATACGGGCCCCTGCTATTTAATAAGATATCGAAGAATTTCTGTTTATACATGCAACTTTTAAATTTAAAAAAAAACACATAAAATTAACTCGATCACGTAGGTTAATCTAACAAATCTATGCAACAAACTAATGATTGCGTGCCAATTATGGTAACATGACCAATAGATTGATGATTTTGTGTGTGATGATTTGAAAGACGTACCTCGCTAACCACTAATAATACACCAATTTACCTGCAGCGATATTGCGCCGCACAATATTCGCGGCGGCGCCCACATTGCCCAGCGGCTGCGGCTGCTGATGTTGTTGCTGCTGCTGCTGCTGTTGTTGTTGCTGTTGTTGTTGCTGCAGTTCGTGGTGATGATGATGCAACGTATCTGTGGCGGAAATTGTTGGCGCTAAAACGTTACCGCTATTGCCTGCCGTTGTATCCACCGATGCTGGACGCCCGCGTCCACCCATAGGAATGCCGTTCAGACTATGCAGCGGATTCTGAACAGTGACAAACTAAATAGCAAAAAAAAAAAAAAAAAATATCAGTATTGCAAGCTTAGTCATACGAATCCCAAATTATTACTTACCTGGTTTTGATGCATCGGTGGTGCACTGGAGGCCCTTGGCGCTTGATTGTCAGCTGCTCCCACATTTGCCCGATGAACGAGAACATATTGCCCGCTGCCATTTTGATGGATCAATTGCTCCGGTCCCGATTGCTGAGGATTTTGCACTGTCACCGGTGAACTAGCTGATTGATGATGTTGCTGTAGTAATTGCAATTGTTGCGGAGTAGCTGTAGCTCCGCCAGGTCCGGGAGTAAACACATGCCGGATGAGCGTGGTTGGTGAGGGCTTTCTTTGAACATATTTCTTTCGCGGGAAACCGCTCATTCGGGGTCCAATGACCTGAAATAGTAAAGGATATATTTAGTCATAAAGAAAACAATAAAATTTCTCCTAACTTCTACCTTATATACTCCTGGACGCCCGACACCCATTACATTTGGAGGTAAACCAGCAGGCAAAGCTCCGGCACCAACTGCTCCACTAACCAAGACCTCCTCTTGTTTCAAAATATTCTGAGCTGGGGCTGCAGCCACGGCTGCTGCCATACTCCCACTAGCCGTCGTTATGTTTGACATGGGTGTGGCAGCCACTGTTGAAACATTCAAGGTCACAGGATTCACAGGCGTTGCTGCAGTGGTGGCCGTCGGTTGCTGATGCTGGTTGAGAATTGCGGCAGGTGGTCGTAGTTGAGCCTTGAGGTTCTCGCGATTTGGACTGTTTTGAATAACTGCCTGGCAGATTTGATAGCTACGCTCCAGATTGACCGCACCCGGTGGCAGCCTGTTGCTCGTGGCCTTGCGACCTTTGCCCGTTGGCATTTTCGGCTGCAATCTTTGCTGGGCAATGGTGGTTGGCACTCCCGATGGCGGCAGGGTTTTCATTGTCAGCACATTGGGGATAGAGGGCAACTGCTGCATATTGCTGTTATGATTGGCCAGCTGCTGCTGGTTTGTTTGCTGCTGCTGCTGCTGTTGGGGGGCAGGTACTGGCGGCGATTGCTGCTGTTGCGGTGCTGTCACAGCAACAACATTGGCGTAGGCGGACGGAATAGTTGCGGTATTTGCTGTTGTTGCTGCTATGGTAGGCGATGCATTAGCAGGTCGCGTCATAGAGATGATATTCAATGGCTTAGCTATGAATTTAGGCTGCGTTGTCGCTGGCGCAACATTTTGTTGCTGTTGCTGCTGCTGCTGCTGCTGTAGTAGATTGTTGTTAGCGGCCTGAGCCAGCAGTTGCCGCTGATGCAATTGCGCTTGTTGCAGGGCAAACTGCTGAATCTGTTGTTGCTTCTGTTGAGCAGCGGCCTGGTGTTGTTGCTGTTCCAGTTGTTGTTGTTGCTGGTGCTGTTGGGCAAGCAAATTAGGAGACAAGAACTGTTGAGCTCCATTGCGAAGAGCCACTGGCAATGTCTTGGTCAAGGCATTGCTACTAGTTGCTTGCTGTTGTTGGTGCTGCTGTTGTTGCTGCTGCTGCTGTTGTGCTGCAGCCGCCTGCAATTGGAACTGTTGCAGAAGTTGTTGCTGGCGCTGCTGTTGCAACAGAAAATTCCCAATTATTTGACCATTGGAGTCTACTAGTATCTGTCGTTGTTGCGATGCAGTTGGTTGAGTGTTTTGCTGAGTCTGCTGCTGCGCTGGTTGCTGTTGATTTATTGTGAGACTGTTGCTGCTGCTGCATAGACTAAGATTGTTGCTACTGTCGTTACTATTACTGCTGTTGGTTATCACTGTGCTTGACACCTCCATTTCGGCAGCAGACATTGGAACAGTGTCGCAGAGCATTTCCTGCGCGATCTGGTATTCAAATGAATTGTAATTACGCTTTCCAGAAATTCTTTTCTCGTTCAAACTTACCTCGTTTCCGTACTCGCTATGGGCTTGTGGCATAAAGGAATGCTGAGACAATTGAACTACATCCTGGATATGCAACTGCTGGTGTTGCTGCTGCTGCTGTTGTTGCTGTTGATGTTGCTGCAGCTTGTCCACTATTTCGCGCACGGCTTCGCTATCGTCATCCATCATCTGCTGATCTTGCTGATCCTCCGTGATACATTCCACCACTTCATCCTCTTCCTCCTCCTCTTCTTCTTCCTCCTCTTCGTCATCAAGCACCTCGTGGCACACATCATTCTCCATAATATCGTCGATGACGTCGGCATCCTGCACTACATCCATTAGATCAATAGCTTCATGGCTGAGGTTTTGCTGCTGATCTACCGTTGATTGAGAGCTGCTCAACTTAATGTCGCCAAAGTTCCAATCGTGCTGCACATTCTGGTACATTTCACTGGAGTTTAACTCCGCGGGAAGTTGCTGCTGCAACTTGGCCACCGTTGAGAGCATGGCTTGGACATTCGCCAAAGTGCATTCAGCTGCCGCCGCTAGTGTTAATGGAGCTGTAGCTGTCCCGGTCGATGATGATGTCGTTGGCGCGGTCGTCGTCGAGCCGGAATTGCTACTAGAGCATGAAGATGACATAGAGGCTGTGGAGGATGAGGACGAGGTGCAGCTTGTGGAGGTTATCGAACTGGCAGGCGTCGACCCAGAAATTGAGCTTGCAATGGGCATTGGTGTGTCCTCCAGCTTATCACTTTGCTCTTCCAGTTTTATAGCTGCAGTTGCCGCCGCTGCAAAGCAAAATAAGAACATTAGAACGTTGAATTTCAGCAGAGATAAGTATGATTACTGTTGGACGATGAGGATGAAGTGAAGTAGTCGTGATTGATGGTTGATTGATGGTCTTGGAAATAGGCTGATTAAAGGGAATGAAGTTAATATTAGTGATTAATACAGAGAAATGCCTAAAAGGGAAACTAACCGTGGTCAATGGTATCTGAAAAAACAAAATCATGGCTGTTTGTTTCTGTCGTTATTACTGCCTCGTTTGCATTGTCCAAAGGCGCTTTGGTATCTACAATTTTGAATATGTTAGTTAATAGAACAGTACTTTCTATAAAATCTAACTTACCAGCTGTTAGTTCAACGCTTTGCAAGTAGCTCACAAATTGGTTGACCACCTCCGGGTTTGTTGGCAACGTCTCTGGCTTTTGTGGGCATGGGGTAACAATAGCGATTTGCAAGTTGCAAGGTAGAGCCGGCTTCTCATCTTCTATATCATTCGCTTGTTGTTTCATGGCAACGATCACCTCCTGCACACTGCACTCAGATGGCTCAATTTTATCACAGGTACTGTTGATAAGTGGCTGATGTTGTCGTTGGTGCTGCTGCTCATCTTTTATTTTCGTTTCTGCTGCGGCATGATCCACAACATCAACCTCTGGCGTAGCTACAACATTCCCTGACGCAACATTAGGAACATTTTCGGCCATCTTTGGCTGCTTACTATCCTTCGATGTACTGGGTAGCTCGTCAGGATCATCGTCCAGTGTTATAGTGGCTATCGTTGTAGGTGCCTGTCTGCGTTGCGAAGGACTGCTCGATGGACGTTTGAGTATACGGCGTTGCTGTTCGTTTAGCACATTATTCTGGCTGCTTGGGGCAGCCGGTGTGCTTGTTTTAGCTGCTACTGCTGTTGCTACTGTAGTTTTTGTGGTTGCTGCTGTCGTTTCGCACTTTGTGCTCTGAAATTTGTACAATGCTATATATCTGAGTTTAATATTAAAGGTTTTTTTTTACTTACCAAATCAAATTTTAATTCAGTCTCATTATCACATGTTGCTTGTTGTTGCTGTGGTTTTTGTTGCGATGTCGCTGGTGGTTTTTGCTCACTCTTAATGCTGGCCAATAGCTTCTGATCCTTGGAATCGCTCTCTAGCTTTCCCTTGGATTTGGAGTTCTTCTCGCCCCAGAAGGGCTCAAAGTGTTTCAGCTTCCAGGGATCCAGCTTGTTCTTCTCTCGCTCGGCCTCTGTTTTGAGCTTCAACTGATTCTCCGGTGTGAATTCGCCTTCGCTTAGCCGCTCCCTCCATTCCAGGCAGGCTCGGGCAAAGAATTCGTTATTCAGGCAAGAGGCACTTAGCCGTATAGCCTCAGAGGGATTACCTTCACTGCCACTGCCGCTTGGCAGCTCCAGTTCGCTAGCCTCGCGATCCACGCTTGGCAGCAGTTGTATGAGATTATATTGATAGAGGGGCGGCAGCAGCGAAAACGTTTGTTTATTCAGCAGCGCCCTCAGGTTAGTGGAGGCCAGTATTGAGTCTGGAGTCTCCAGGTCGATCTTTCCGTCTTTTGTTTGCTCAATTTGCGCAGCTGTCGTCAGCTTTTTATTGCTCCTCCGACGGGGCTTAACACTAAATCCGGGTATGGAGGCTAGGACCTCCCGCATAGTCGAAGCTTGCGAGGAACCAGCCTTGCTACCTGGTGAGATGGCGGATGGAAAACTGGCAGCGGCTTGGGCTTGAGCTGAAGCCGCTGCAGTCGCAGCAGCTGCTGCTGCTGCTGCTGCTGCTGCCGCCGCCGCCGCCGCTGCTGCTGCCGCTTTGACCTGTTGCTGCTGCTGGATGCGACGGCTGCAGATCAGGCGCTGAGGCGGAGCAGTAGCAGGACCGACAACTGCCTCTTCACTGGGCGCCATCGGCTTTTTCTCAGGTGGTATGGGTTTCACGATAATGCGTGGCAGGTGGCGTCTGAAAATGATATTAGATTAATATTAGATTTCATAGATTTGATGGTAAATCGATTCTGAAACTAACCTCAGACTGTGCGTGTGCTTGGTAGAGGGAGACACCTCCAGCTGCTCCAGCGCAAGTGGATCCTTCTCGTCGTCGTCCACCAGATTCACATGCTCCATTATAATCGGAGGCGGTGGAGCGGCCAACAAGGACTGCTGCTGCAGCATCGGCTGGTGATGCTGATCCGCTTGTGGAATGAGAAGTTGTTGGTGCTGTGACGCCGTCGTCGTATCCGGCGTTATTGTTTTCATTGTTTATCTCTCTGCCTAATCTATTTACAGCGAACTTTTGATCCATGCATCCATGTCAGGCAAGTTTCTTCCGCACATACTAGAATTAGATAGTAATTTATTCCACAAAAATTATTGTTTGTTTTCAAGAAGGTTGATTAACTCATTCTCAAACTATACTTAATATAGAACTTGACATAAAACATAATACAATTTGTTTGTTTATTTATGTAAAAGAAAAGTTCGTGCAAAAGTGTTAACCCTTTTGTGATTATTATAGTTAACAAAAAACTAATGTTTATTAAAAAAAAATAATATTTTTGTGGGACTTTTTTCCAACCAAACATTCTATTTAAAAGTGTTCGTTCAACTGGAAAATTGCTTTTTGTTGTCATGAAATATAAGTTTAAAGCCAGCTTTTGTGATTTACTTTTGGTATGTTCCTACAGCAATGTTGTTAAATACAAGGGAGACTGGCTTCCTGATTGAAATTTAAATGTCAAATAGTTATTAGTTATTTGGTGTAGTGCATGATTAATCCTGATTGTTCATGCACTAACCTGGCCAGCAGTATAGTCCATTTTAAGGCAGAAACTGTCTGTATAATTTTAACGTTGCGCCCTTTGTATATGTATGTACTGCCATCTGTGTGTATGTATGTACTGCATGTATTACGTTAGATGTGTGTGCGTGTGATTTTTTTTTATATGGAATCGAATTTGCGGCTATTCGGAGATTTTCCGCTAGCTGTGTTTTAGTTTTAATTATCGTTTTAGTTTTCCTTTCGATTTTCTACGCTCGCCAGCTGCAAAAACTAAATAAAAACAACAATGTAACTGCAACAACAACTACAACAACGGCCGACCTGCAAAGTTGTTGGTTGGTTATATTTTTTTCTCACGCACGCACACACATACACCTACAGACATAACACACACACGCACACTATTGTACGACGAAGAAGTAGAAAAATTGCTTTTGTTGCTATTTTAATAGACTATCTTCGGGTTTTTTACCTATTTATTGTACGGATTTTCAGCTTTACTAGACCATTATCTTATGCATTATTCCGATTTCCGCCTCGTTAATGGCTCACTAAATTAAATATTGAATGGGGGAAATGTGAATGCCAAACACACAAACAAAGCAGCTACAAAATGATTCTTTTCTAGCTAACTATGCCGGTCCCTTTCTGGCACACACGTTACGGCTATCGGGCCCAGCGCCCGTCCTTCTCGCACACTCACTACGCAGAATAGCTGCGTTTAATTGAATGAAATGGTTTTAGTTAATATTTTAAACACACTGGGCACTGATCACACCAACTATTTATTGTTTTTTCGTAGCCAGTTTTTAACACGAAACGCTCGAATTTCTGGCTGCCGTGCCAAGTCCGATGGGGTTGTTGATGTCGCATCCGATACATCGGATAGGAGCGGAATTATTTGCGCAATCACTGTTCCCTCACCAGGGCTGCAAACTATCGATTGTATTGCACCGCACTGAATAAGAAGTAGCTAGACATGTTTTTCAATATATAATCCTAAAACTATAAAATTGAATAGCAGGTTGTTACAAAATCCATATACATTTAAAAATTGAAAAATTTTATACCAACTTATAATAAAAACAGATATTCATTAAAGTAGCCAAAACGAGTTCAGATAAGCTGGCCGATAGATCTTCTCCCACAATCGATAGTTTCGCAGCTGCTGTTTTGGGCCGGCAAATTGTTTAACTTGGCTGAATTGTTTAATAATGTTTTAAATAGTTGCGATACCGAGCTAACCACACAATCGCAATGTTTTCGATGTGCAAGCAAACGCATGCCGCCACGGCGCTGGAGTTTTCTATAGCTTGCCGCTTCTTCAACAATCTGGAGGAGAACCTTGTGGTGGCGGGCGCCAATGTGCTGAAGGTGTACCGGATAGCGCCCAACGTGGAGGCGGGCCAGAGACAGAAGTTGAATCCCAGTGAGATGCGTGTAGCTCCGAAAATGCGGTTGGAGTGTCTTGCCACCTATTCCCTCTACGGCAATGTGATGTCGTTGCAGTGCGTCTCTTTGGCGGGAGCCATGCGAGATGCACTGCTAATTAGTTTCAAGGATGCCAAGTTGTCTGTACTGCAACACGATCCGGATACGTATGCCCTGAAGACCCTTTCGCTTCATTATTTCGAGGAGGACGACATACGTGGCGGCTGGACAGGCCGGTATTTTGTTCCCACAGTCCGGGTGGATCCTGATTCTAGGTGCGCCGTGATGTTGGTCTATGGCAAACGGCTGGTAGTGCTTCCATTCCGTAAGGACAACAGCTTGGACGAGATTGAATTGGCAGATGTGAAGCCAATTAAAAAGGCTCCCACAGCCATGGTCAGCAGAACGCCGATTATGGCCTCGTATCTGATAGCACTGCGGGATTTGGACGAGAAGATCGACAATGTGCTGGATATACAATTCCTTCACGGCTACTATGAACCCACACTGCTAATCCTATACGAGCCGGTGCGCACCTGTCCGGGAAGAATCAAGGTGCGCTCGGATACCTGTGTTTTGGTGGCCATTTCGTTGAATATCCAGCAGCGAGTGCATCCGATTATTTGGACGGTTAACAGTCTGCCTTTCGACTGTCAGCAGGTGGGTCTGAAATCTGCTAAACATAATGGGAATCCGTTTATTTTCTTAAAAATATTTACTTAAAATTATCGTCTTCTTTTCTTTCCAGGTTTATCCCATCCAAAAACCTATTGGTGGTTGTCTGGTAATGACCGTCAATGCCATAATCTATCTCAACCAGAGTGTTCCTCCATATGGCGTTAGTTTAAACAGTTCAGCGGACAACAGCACTGCGTTCCCGCTAAAACCGCAAGATGGTGTGCGGATTAGTTTAGACTGCGCTAACTTTGCGTTTATCGATGTGGATAAGCTGGTACTCTCGCTCCGCACTGGAGATCTCTACGTGCTCACGCTTTGTGTTGACTCAATGAGGACAGTCAGAAACTTCCATTTCCACAAAGCAGCCGCCAGTGTACTGACCAGTTGCATTTGCGTACTTCACTCGGAGTATATATTCTTGGGATCACGTCTCGGAAATTCATTGCTGTTGCATTTTAAAGAGGAGGATCAGAGTACAGTCATTACTTTGGATGATGTGGAGCAGCAGGCTGAGCAGCAGCAACGGAATCTTCAAGATGAGGATCAGAATCTGGAGGAGATTTTCGATGTAGATCAAATGGATATGGCACCCACCCAAGCAAAGTCTCGTCGCATTGAAGATGAAGAACTAGAGGTTCGTTAAAGAATATATGTTTCCTTTTAGTTACTTTGAACCCGAAACTACTTTTTATTTCAGGTGTACGGTTCGGGTGTTAAGACCTCGGTTCTCCAGCTGCGCAAGTTTATTTTTGAGGTTTGCGACAGTCTTATGAACGTGGCACCCATCAATTATATGTGCGCCGGAGAGAGAGTGGAATTCGAAGAGGATGGTGTCACCTTACGACCACATGCGGAATCTCTGCAAGATCTGAAGATCGAACTGGTTGCAGCCACTGGTCATAGCAAAAACGGTGCCTTGTCCGTATTCGTAAATTGCATTAATCCTCAGATCATCACCAGCTTTGAGTTAGACGGCTGCCTCGATGTGTGGACCGTGTTTGATGATGCCACCAAAAAGTCTACAAGGCACGACCAACATGATTTCATGTTGCTTTCCCAAAAGAATTCTACCTTGGTTCTTCAAACAGGGCAGGAAATCAACGAAATCGAGAATACGGGTTTCACGGTTAACCAGCCGACCATTTATGTCGGAAATCTCGGACAGCAGCGGTTCATTGTTCAGGTGAGTTTTGAATAGAATTTATTTATTTATACAGTTCGTTTTTAATTTTGTTCTTTATTTCTCCCCCAGGTAACCACTCGTCATGTCAGATTACTGCAAGGAACTCGCCTGATCCAGAATGTACCCATCGATGTGGGTTCGCCGGTGGTTCAAGTATCCATTGCTGATCCATATGTTTGCCTGCGGGTGCTAAATGGTCAGGTTATCACATTGGCGCTGAGAGAAACACGTGGGACTCCCCGATTGGCTATTAACAAGCACACCATCAGCAGTTCTCCCTCCGTAATCGCCATCTCCGCATATAAAGATTTATCGGGATTATTCACGGTCAAAGGAGATGATATCAATCTAACCGGTAGCTCGAACAATGGATTTGGCAACACCTTTGGGGGCTATATGAAGGCGGAACCCAACATGAAGGTGGAGGACGAGGAAGATCTTCTTTATGGCGATGCCGGAAATGCTTTTAAGATGAATAGTATGGCAGATTTGGCTAAACAGTCGAAACAGAAGAACTCTGACTGGTGGAGGCGTCTCCTAGTGCAAGCTAAGCCCAGCTATTGGCTGGTGGTGGCCCGTCAGAGTGGAACCTTGGAAATCTACTCCATGCCGGACATGAAGCTGGTCTACCTCGTAAACGATGTGGGCAATGGAGCTATGGTTCTCACAGATGCCATGGAATTCGTGCCCATTTCACTGACTACACAGGAAAACTCCAAAGCGGGTATTGTCCAAGCTTGTATGCCTCAGCATGCAAACTCCCCGCTGCCACTAGAACTAAGTCTCATTGGCTTAGGACTAAATGGAGAAAGACCTCTACTATTAGTGAGAACTCGTGTAGAGCTGCTTATATACCAGGTGTTCCGGTATCCCAAGGGCCATCTAAAGATACGATTCCGTAAGGTGGAGCAACTAAATCTACTGGATCACCAGCCGACGCATATTGAGTTGGATGAGAATGAAGATCAAGAGGATATGGAATCCTACCAAATGCAACCGAAATATGTTCAAAAGCTTCGTCCATTTTCCAATGTGGGCGGGCTATCTGGCATTATGGTGTGTGGAGTAAATCCCTGTTTTGTCTTCCTAACATCCCGAGGAGAACTTCGAATCCATCGTCTGATGGGAAATGGAGATGTCCGTAGCTTTGCCGCCTTCAACAATGTGAACATACCCAATGGATTCTTGTACTTTGACACTACCTTCGAACTAAAGATCTCTGTGCTTCCCAGCTATCTGAGTTACGACTCTACTTGGCCGGTGAGAAAGGTTCCGCTAAGATGTACACCACGACAACTTGTGTACCATCGCGAAAATCGGGTTTACTGTTTGATTACCCAAACGGAGGAGCCGATGACCAAGTACTATCGGTTTAATGGAGAAGATAAGGAGCTATCCGAGGAGACTCGCGGCGAGAGGTTCATCTATCCTATTGGCTCGCAGTTCGAAATGGTTTTAATATCACCAGAAACCTGGGAAATTGTACCGGATGCGTCCATTAGCTTTGAGCCTTGGGAGCATGTCACAGCCTTTAAGATCGTAAAGTTGTCATATGAAGGTACACGATCTGGTCTCAAGGAATACCTCTGCATTGGAACTAACTTTAACTACAGTGAGGACATAACCAGCAGAGGAAATATTCATATTTATGATATCATTGAAGTGGTCCCTGAACCCGGCAAACCCATGACGAAATTTAAGCTAAAGGAAGTTTTTAAGAAAGAGCAAAAAGGACCAGTTTCGGCAATATCCGATGTCCTAGGTTTTCTGGTCACTGGATTGGGCCAGAAGATCTATATCTGGCAGCTACGTGATGGTGATCTCATTGGTGTGGCTTTCATAGATACAAATATCTATGTCCACCAAATTATTACCGTGAAATCACTGATCTTCATCGCCGATGTTTACAAATCTATAAGTTTGCTGCGCTTCCAGGAAGAGTACCGTACTTTGTCGCTGGCTTCGCGGGATTTTAATCCTTTGGAGGTCTATGGCATTGAGTTTATGGTGGACAACACAAATCTGGGATTCCTGGTGACCGATGCTGAGCGCAATTTGATTGTGTATATGTATCAGCCAGAGGCCAGGGAATCGCTTGGAGGCCAGAAACTGTTACGCAAGGCTGATTATCATCTAGGACAGGTGGTGAACACCATGTTCCGCGTGCAGTGCCATCAAAAGGGACTACATCAACGCCAACCCTTCCTGTACGAAAACAAGCATTTCGTCGTTTATGGAACCCTTGATGGAGCTCTGGGATATTGCCTGCCACTGCCCGAGAAAGTGTACAGAAGATTCCTTATGTTGCAGAATGTGCTCCTGTCCTACCAGGAACACCTATGTGGCCTCAATCCCAAGGAATATCGCACTCTCAAGTCTTCCAAGAAGCAGGGTATTAATCCATCGCGTTGCGTCATCGATGGAGATTTAATTTGGTCATATCGTTTAATGGCCAATTCGGAGCGCAATGAAGTGGCCAAGAAGATTGGCACGCGAACGGAGGAGATCCTGGGCGATTTGCTTGAGATCGAGCGACTGGCCAGCGTTTTCTAGACATTCTCTCTTGTCAAAGATGTAAAGTTTTAGTTGGTAGTTTTATTTGTAGTTTATGTTACGAGTTTCTCATTTGTAATTATAGTTTTGTAATCCAATCGAAGCAACAACAAAGTATTTTGTTAAGTAAACTTGCAGTTTTGTAATTATTTCGGCGGTCGCGGTTACGAAATTGCTTTCCTTCTTAGTTTCCTTCTTTAGATTTATATCAGCTTTAAAACAATAAACCAACGCAATAGAGAGATCCAAGATCAAAACCGCGCCCAAAAATAAACAATTGAAGACATTAGATTGGACGCTTTGTGGTGCGTCTTGCCTGCATCACAGCCGGAGCTGAGCTAATGGCATTCTTTATGTATTGTATAATATATATATAATGTATATGTATACTAGATTATTCATTGTATAAACTAACAACATCATCAGTATCAGTATCAGTTAGTTAACTCAATGTGCAACAGCCAACGACAGCCGTACACTCGTCGTACGAAGAAAATACACATTTCCAATCGAAGATCATCCGAAAAAATCAAAGAAAACTTATATCCGATATATAATTAAAGAAATTGCAAAACTGTCTGCTTAGTTGGTACTTGGTAGTTGGTAGGTGGTGCGTATGTGGTTTCATTTGTGGTATATATGAAGGACATGTGGGTTGTTTTGTGGTTGTGTCTGTGGAAGGCGCTTCTTATGTGTCCTTGTTTCGTTGAGCAACTAATTTAGTTTAGTTAGCAAAAACAATCTTTAAGGCGGCTAGGCTACAGGCAAACAAATTATGCGGATTACGAGTTGATATATTTATGTGTACGTAGTGGTGACTCCTAAAACCCCGCCATCCTGGCTAGCCCTCAATCTGGGATCGCAGGCGGGGACGTGGCAAGTCCCCAAACACAGCCTCGCCATGGATGCTTTTGGTCAGCGCTTGAATGCTGGCCGCTATATCAATGTTGTCCATTCCCTGGTTAAAGAAATGAATATTAGTTTTTTATGATAAGTTTTCTGAAAATGTGAGCTTACCTCCTCGCAGCCCCGACCAAAGTTGTTATTGTTGGCCGCAGCAGCTCTCTCAGCCAGCGTGGTGTTGGCTATCTCTATGGGCAGACTCCTGGCAAAGTTCATCAACTGCGCGTGGCTAGGACGACCGGCTCCTTTGCGCACTGGTATGGAAATGGAACTGTCAGGGTCGAGAGCATCTATGGGTGGTACAAAAATAATGGTTATATTCTATTTATATAAGGAAAGTATCGCTGGTATCTAACCTTCAGCTTCGTCGGCCGTTTCATCGTCCAGTACACTTCCCAGGCCATTTTGCTGGCTCAATTGCTGAAACGGATTGTGGTGGTGCTCCTGCTGGTAGATCAAGTTGCGCTGGTAGCTGGGCACTGGCACGGACTGAACCGTATGGGACGACGGAGCATCCACATCCTCCAGTTCGAACAGACAGTCATCCGCATCGTCGGTGGAACTAGACTGACCAACTCCGTTGGAGGTCAACATCTGGGTGGGTTGACCGCCAGATCCACCAGTGGCTGCCGATTGCTGCCGGAAGGTGGGACTGTTGCCCACGCTCATGGGCGTGGCCTCTGGAGTAGCGGGAGGTGTGTCAAAGTGTGACATCTTTCTGGCCACCGAGACACTTTGAAGTGGCTGCTGTAATTGCTGCTGCTGTGTCTGCTGCTGTTGGGACTGCAACTGCTGCTGCGGCTGCTGGTTCAGCGTAAGAAAACTGGGCGGATGATTCAGAGTGGTGGTGGGCGTGGTGGGTCCACCATTCAACTCCCGTCGGCTGCTGATGGTGTTCCTGCGCCGGGCAGTGGCACTCTGCGGCTGATTCGCCGCTACATCCAAGGCGGGAGGCATGGCATGATCTAGCATCTCCGAGGCTTGAAAGGGTATAGCATGGATAACTCTGAATAGCAATGCTAAATCCTGATCCGACTTCTCCCGGAAACTGTTCAAGAACTGGAACTGATTACGCGTGTACCGCTCGATTCTCTCGTTTGTCAACGAAATCTCCTCCTGCAATCGCGCCTGGTGATAAGCTTCGATCATCCTTAGCCTCTGCCCTTCGGCATCCGAACGATAAGAGGATAGCGAGCCAATGCTCAAACTCGATGCAGAGTTTGATATTCCAGAGGTGGGTCCTGCCGGCACGGAGTCACTTCCTGTTTGATCCATAATCAACAATTCGAAGGTCTCCGAGTAGGCTTTGTTGGTTTTTCGCTGGGCCAACTCCTCGCTGGTCGTCACCAGCGTCCAGTTGATGAGGTAGAGCGTGGGCGTAGCTCCTGCGCCCGCCGTCAATCGCTTGGCGCACAGCACCTCCTTGCAATTGACGCACAAGCTCAGCTGCCAGCTTTGACCAGCGGCCTCAAGGGTGAGACCATAAATCAGCTCCCGCTGCTTAATCACAGCCACGTGGAGGTCTGAAACGGGTCCATAGGCCTGAAAGGTCAAGAGAAGGTTGTGATTATTGTTTGTTTGAGGAAGTAAATAAGAATGAAAAGGTGTAATAATAGAATATTAAAGAAATTTAAATTTTAATAAGTTTTCCCATATATTTACCAAATATGCAATCTGGTTATTAATTTATGGCATCGATATATCACTCTGCACTTTCTGGATTAACTTTCGTCAACAAGTTGATAAGATTTTCAACACAGTTGTGGTCAATGTCTGATAATGGGGATTACCAATTTACCTCTGTATTATCTGCACTTCTGATCACCGCTGGTGAAAGCCTTTCTTCGATATTTACCCAGTCAACAACCCCGCCGCACAGTAGTTCAAGTGCAAATTTGTCAATTATGTTCATTTCGAGTGCTGCACCCGATTGTCGGAAAACTTATCAGAATCGGAAAAACAACGACGAATCGTTCGAAACATGAAAACAACAAACAATTAGTGCAATGGCAAAATGATGTTAAGTTCACCAAAAAAAAATCAGAAGACTACTTGAATTTTGCAGACTGCCATAGTGACAAACAGAAGATGTGATCAATCGGTAAACAAGTCTCTGATATCAAACAATCAATGAGAACATTCTGTAACATTGTTTTATGATCACAATAATAATGATCAAAATGGCAAGCATAACAACCTAATGGTGACCCAAAAAATTAAAAACTATATGGAATGCCAATAAAACTTAAACATAAACAAATATCTGTCCATCAACATAATATGCCGCTTAAATTGTTACCACCCACACACACACAGCCTTATATACTATATAAACTACGATAGCCTCTTCAATTTATATAGATAAATTCCCCCCATTTATGCACAACAATTCCGGCATGTTTGGGATCGTAGCACGTGTTTGCCGACTGACACAGGAGAGAAAAACACTTTTTATAGACGTGCTCGGCTAAATTTGACACTCGCGTCCACAACACAATCAAGCCATATTCATATACCGCACCAATGAAGGAGGTGAGGGGGCGGTACACTGGACACTGGACAGACACAAGTGCACAGAGAACACAACCACAGCCACGTATGTAAACAGAATTAAATTGAATTAACGTACGAAATGCAAACGTCAACAGAAATCAAATGACAATGTTGCCCCCGTCAGCTAAGCGCTGCAATAGCTCCTGGCTTGCATAGCATCGTTTTCCATATAACCATCATCATTATTGATAGGTGGACAGCGGTAGCTCTCATCTAATATCATTTCAAGGGAAATAGTAAGCTATTTGCATATTTTAGATTTTTCTATGATAATGTTCTTTATGTTTTCTAAAGAGATTAAAAATTTAAATACCAATCAAGAAAGGTTCGATCCAATAACTATCAATCTTATAAGGATCTAACTTATTATTATTATCCAATTTAATGCTCATAGAAGATAACATTGTATTTTACTATTAAAATCTGTTTGCCATTAAATATAGCAATAAAAATTTAAAAACATTTGCCTACCCCATCCCACGCTGACATTAATTTTACAAATATTAACTAAACTTAGCACTGAACCGAATTTCCGGCATTGCATAGCAAAATATTACAGCTGCATTCTTTTGTCTTCATTTAGAAATTTGTTGTTTTCGCATCCATTTTGGCCAATAACAAGTTGTGGTGTGGTGGTCACACCCACTCAAAAAATATTGTTTTCAATGCAAATTCCAAACTTGTTTACACCACAGAGTGCGGTAATATCTAATCAGCCTCAGTCAGTCGGCGACAATAATTATATGAATGAAAAAAAAAAAAAAGGCAGTTAAATGTGACACAGCAAATGCATTGTTGTCAAGTGTTTTGGCATTCGGCTGTTATTGTTGTTGTTTTTGTTGTTATTAGTTTTATTGCTGCCAAACGCATAAACATATTTATGGGCTCAGGCCTATTTGCTCAGTTTAAAATTGCAGTCTTATGGCTGTTTTCGTAACCACAAGAGTCGACTGACTGGCTGGCTTGGCTTGTTATTCTTGCTGCCAATTTGCTTCGCTTGATACCCTTTAGTTTTAGGGTTTTCCAATTGGTAATGAGTCTTCAAGGAAATGTTCGATTGGCAGATAAGATAATGGTGAATAGACGAAAGATTAAAGAATGATTTTTCATTTTAGATTTACGATTTTATCTGTTAAGGGTGGGTGATAAGGATTATAACAATGTTCCTCATTGATAAGGTAAGTTAAAAAATTCACAATTGGTTTAGGTACTATAATATGTTATGATCTATAAGATGTTATTATAAATAAGATTTGTTTTCTTCAAATCAAGATAATAAGCCACTAACCTATTAATATTTATGTTAATTTCTTTGCCTTCTGACGATTCCAGGGTAACTTAACAATCGATCATTGCTAATCACCATTCATCATTCATTCTTGATTTTTTAGCGTTATTTACAGTTTTTATGGCCCGCCTGGGTAAGCTTAAAGTGGGTGTTGTTTTGTTGACTCGCTTGTCCGGCCCCGACCGCCTGACATTATCAGTTCACTTGGGTTGTAAAATGTTGAGCGGCCCCTGCTTAACTCCCATCACATCCATCCATCCATCCTGGACACTGGCATTAAATTAGCCTGCCCTCTTGTTTTTTTTTACCCTTTCTTGCATGAAGCACTTACAAAATTTTTAAGAACTTGCACAAACATCTCAGACTCTGCGGCAATTCGCAATCTGCCAAATGTCAATGACTCTTCTCAGTGACTTTCAGACTGCAATGACAACAATTGAAGGCAATATAGCCCCTGGCGTCGTAGTCGTAGTCGTCGTCGTCACTTCATTGGGTTGCTTAATTAACGTAACTGACTGTTCGAATTATCGGTTCTTGCTTAATTGAAATTAAATGTCTGTGCGCTGTCCTGCTAATTATGCTCTGGCGCCACCTAGCGTCCGGAACCAGTGGCTGTTTAGCTAATTAAATAACCGTTTACGTTCGACTTTGACGTATGACCGTTTGTTTTATGGCCACTGCCTGGCATTTGATTAATTGTAATCGCTTCTTATGGCCAAAAACAACAAACAAACAAAAAAAAAATTAAAAGAACAAAACCACGTAAATAATAATAAATAAAACATGGCGTGTTCTTGTTGGATGAGCTTCTGAAAAAAAAAACAGCAAGCGAAAGAGACGCAATATAGCCAGAGGAAACGCGCCGAGGAGCACGTAACTCAGCCGCACGCTCTTCGCATATCGGAAATCAATATAAATCGTTTTAATTGAAATGCGACATTTAAATAATATATGCAATCTAGACGGAATCAATTGCATTTGTGCCAACTGTCGAAATCGTTGTCCAACTGTCAACGTGAATCCGTGGATCTCTTAATATGCAGAGTGGATAACTTAGCAAAAAAAAGGGTGATCAGAAACATAAAAAAACTATGATAAATGTTTAGCTATCTTATTTAAATGCAAGCTTACCACCTTGGGCATTAACTAATTAATTATCTTTTAAATTGGAAACAAAGTTAGACACTGAAATATTGAATTGGTTTGAAAATTGGAATAATACCAGCTTAATGATTAAAATATTTATAAGATTTATATATATTATAAGATAAGATCAAAAGAAATATAATAATAGTTTCCCCAAGTGTAAATTCAACTCAAACTGATATATTTACCTGCCTCTTGTCTTATAAAAACAAACCCCATCTAATGGTGTGGAATCGTATAAAATGGCCATAAAGTCGGCCATAACTCGAGAGTTATGTTCTGGCAATCTCAGACGGGGAATACAAGTGCATTATTATGGACCTCTCAAGTGCCTTTTGCTATTCAGTTATGCTGTAAAGCTAATAATGATTGTTGTTAAAGCTTTTTGCTATCATCAAACTGTTGCGCACTTGAATTTCCCGACGGTTTTTATTTTATTTCAATTTTCTCTCTGCCAGAGGAGGCGGCTGAAAACAATTGAAATTCATATCAGAGTTAAATGTGTTTGTGTGCCTGGTTGGTATTAAATGCAGATCTCCTCCCGCCGGCTTATGCAACCAGAACGATTCCCATAAAGCACAAACAACTTGGAAAGCAGAAAATGTATGTAATAATTTTTTCGCATTTTGCACATTGCTGCATAATTAATTTGTTATTGTGCGAGGCGAGACGAGGCGCGGTGAGGCGTCTGTGTAGTAGTTTAATTGATTGGCCCGGCATTAATTAAGCTCGTGGCCTGACACTCGATGTGTCTAATGGATCTACTTAGGGTCTGTCAACCTTCTCTTATTCTCCCCACTTTCCCTTTACTTTTTTATTTTTCATTTTTGCATATCAATTCGCCTTGGGTTTGACTTGGTGAAAAACAAACAAACAAACACATTAAGCTGTGTCCAAAGGTAACAAAAATGAGCTCTTGATGACACATAAAAGAAAATATTTTCGCTTTTAATGGCCCAGTTAAAGTTGTAAGTAAACAACGATATGGTTAAACAAATAAGTTAAGTTAAGCTGTTTTAGATATTATTTTAATCATTTTTATCAGTTTTATCTTAAAAGATTAGGTTGTATTTTTCTTATAATTATAATCTTGATAACATATTTAAACATGTTAAGTTTACTAAGCAGAGGGGGAAAACTGTCTAAGAGGGGGCATTAACCTGTTGCAAGTGTTGGCACCTTTGATAATTACCAATCAATCAGGCCATCAATCATCCGTGGCTGGCACACCTTTCGCCCAAAAAAAAAAAGAAAAAAAAAACAAAATAACAATCATCCGCCCGATTGACGCATTTTCCTTTGTTTTGTTTTCCATTTCTATTTCTATTTTCATTTGGATTTTTACTTTTTTGTTTTTATAGCTTTGAGATAACTTGCCTTGTTTCGTTGCGAATCGGCAGAAACCGAAACTGAGCCAAAAAGAAAATAAGTTGTAAACAAATCAACTGGCAAAAGAAACTACGAAAATAATCTTTTATAGATTTGGATCCCCCTGCCTCGACAAGGCAGAAGAGGGGTCCGCTCTGGGGTGCGACTTGGTTCGCCTGGCTGCTCA